CGACAACATGCCCTTATCCCGACATCTTCCCCAACCTGCAGTCCCTGACATGGTTCGCGTGCACCCCGCAAAGGCAGCACTTTAGCCTAATCTTCATGCACCGGCGCGTAAGACACCTTGGCCTGCACATGTACCGCTCCGAACCCAATGCGTTGACAGCGTTTCTCAGCGACATCTGCACACGATGTTCCGGGGTCACCAGCCTTGATCTCAAGCTCGAGGAGCCGATGAGGCAGTTCGAAGACGACGTCGTCCTCCTACTCCGCGGTCTGCCCCAGGTAACGCAGGTATCCTTGCCCATTTTCTCCCTCACGCCCCGGGTGCTGGTCGAGCTGTCGAGGCTCCGCCACGTGGTCTCCATAGCGTTCGGACATCCTGCGCAGGCTCAGCCTGGGGACCGCAGAGATGTTTCCGATTTCACGCCGACGATCCCCGAGGAAGGCTTTGTCACGCTCCGCAGCCTGGCATTCAGCGCCCGGCTTCCAGATGCAGCTCGCCTCTTGAGCACCGCACAATGGCCTACCCGGCTCACGAGCCTCCACATCAAAAATATCGCGATCACGACGCCCGCCGCCCTGCGCGACTTCTTCTGTGCTGTGCGGGACCGCTGTACGTCCCTGGTGGACCTTTCGGTGGACTACATTATCGCGCCCGACTCGAGCCTTACGTCCCCTCCGCCGCATCCCCACGAACGTCCGACGCTCGCCACTTTTCGGCCCCTGTTCTCCGCACGCTCGATCCGTGTGTTCGAGTTCCGGTGGGACTACGCGCTCAACCTCACCGACAGCGACATCGAGGAGTTCGCCAGCGGCTGGCCCTGCCTCGAGAGCCTGCAGCTGAACCCGCAGCCCGTGCCAGACCCCGACGGCCCGCGCCTCACCCTGCACGCGCTCGTCCCCTTCGCGCGCCACTGCCCGAACCTGCGCCGCCTCGCGCTGCACATGGACGCGCGCGAGCCCCCGGGCGACTTCGCCGCGCCGCGCCCCGCGGCGACGGTGCGCTTCGCGCGGCTCGAGACGCTCGCGGTCGGGCTCTCCGCGATCGCGCGCGCGGAGCCGGTGACGCTCTTCCTGAGCCAGCTGCTGCCGCTCGGGTGCGCGGTGAGCAGCGGCCTGCGCTGGCCGGACGCGTTCGACCTCGCGCTCGAGCACGCGCGCGTCCCGCTCGAGGTGCGCACGGAGATGGCCGCGTTCTGGATGCGCTGGACCGAGGTCGCGCGGCTGCTCCCGATCGCGACGACCGCGCGGCTCGAGGAGAAGGCGCGCTTCTCGGTGCTCGAGCGTGAGATGCGCGCGCTCGAGCTGTCCCGCTGCGAGGACCGCCGGCGGCTCACGCACCTCGAGCGGGAGGTGCAGGACCTGCGCGGGCGCACGGGGAGCACGCCGTGAGCGGGTCCGGGTCCGAGTGTGGGGGGAATCGGAGGCTGCAACGCCGGGGACCGTCACGCTGCGCATGGCCGGCATCGTTGCACCTCGAGCTCCATCGACCGGTCTACTCTTCGTGCCCGACTTGGGACGCTCGCTAGAGTTCGGGGGTAATCTAAATTCATCCACGCCGCATCTGTGGGCAATGCCTTCCTAAACACCCTTCTCCCGCTCCCCACGGTCACCACACGAGATACGTCCGCGTGAACACAATTGTACTTTACCCCTCGCACATTTACCACGATACTTCCGACCGTGACAGAGAGCATCATTCATGACGCTGAGCTGTCCGCCGTTCACAGTGTTAGCAGTCCAATCCGACTTGAGCCGCAAGGTAGGTCTTCAACGGACTACGACTTGAATGATCCGCCCGTTGGGCCTGGTAGACTCCTCTAGAGACTCGCAACGCCGTTTACGCCCCTGGCGTCCGGTCCGAGGGAAGCATCCGCCAAACGCACGAGACGCAACCCAAAACCTAATCGGCCCTGCTTGGACTCACCGATGTCCGTCTACGTCCACGCCCCCCGCGCTCCCCAACATACGCCCCGTAGTGCCATAAGCGACACTAAGCGAGCGGCGCACCACACACCACGCCCCCGGGACCAGAAGCACTGGCACCGCCGCACCTTGTGCTGCATTCAATGCGCACGCAGCCCCGTATGGGGGCGTGCCTTGTCTGCGCCCCGGATGCGCGCGATAACGCTTATGGGGCCTGCTTCTGCCGTCCGATGCCCTGGGTGCCGGTGGGAGCGCAGGGCGAACTGGGAAGTTGGCGCGCGCTGTGTCGCGGGCCCGCTCGCACGGGCGGCGCTCCCAGTGTGAATGCCCTCCGCGGACCCACCGTTCTCCCGCCCGCGCGCCCGCTGCCTACCGCCGTCTCGCGCCGCGCCCCGGTTGGAGATGACTGCGCGCAGCGACGGGTGCGCACGGCGGTGTCGTACGTATGCTCCGACGCGTCTGCCGTTGACAATAATGGTACACATTTCCGATATACATTCGCTCCGTCTGCGTTCCGCGCCCTGCGTCCTTCAATACCTTTCAACCTTGCGAGACATCTATTCTTCAAAGGTGGCCGTCCTCCGCCGATGCGTGCGTGCGTGTTCGCCGCGGGGCACCGACATGCATGGGCCGCCACGTCTATTTCTTGGCGTGCGGCGGCGCCGCGCGCGGGGGCAGCGTCTGCCCGTAGAAATAGGCCATCATCAACTCCGTGTGCGTCACCGTGAGGTTGAAGAGTGGGTGTGTCGCGTTCTGCACGAAGCACGTCAGCCGGCCGTCAATCTGTACGCCGCCACGTCCAGGACGGGCGGGCGGCCGCGCACGGCAGGCAGGACAGGCGCACTCACCACGCGGTTCCCCGCGCCGCCGACGTACAGGGCGGTGCCCTCCTCCTCCGTCCACGAGAGCGCGTGGGCGAACGTCTCCCGGCGCAGCGCGTCGAGCTGCGCGCGCTCTGCGTCCGACGTCGTGCGGAGGCCCGTGTCTGGACGGGGCGCGACGGGGGGCCGGGGAGTAGATGGGTGGGCGGGCGGACGGCGTGCGAGCGGTCAGATAGTCAGATAGACTCGGGGTGAGCGCTCTGTTGGGCGGATAGGACAGAAGCCGCGGAGGCAGCTCGACGCACCGTCTTTCGCGCGAGCCTGTTCGGCGTCCCAGGCGGAAATTATCGCGTTCTTGCGAGGCTCGGAGGGCACGACGCGGTGCTGCGCTGCTGAGAGCCCGGCCGCGCAGTACAGCGTGTGGTATGCATCTGCGCCCCTGCAGAACGTAAAGGAAGTGGGGAGGTTATGTTAGGGACAATACGGACGCTGGATGAAAATACGGGCACGTACTTGGGCGGCTTGTCGCGCAAACCTCCGGCGGGGTGTTGGCCGGGCAAAAGGATGTACTCCTGGAGCGCCTTGCGGTTGAACAGGGAATCTGCCGTGCCATACAATAGGCATGGGAGGGAACACGCCGAGCGGTCAGATATCCTGTGCGGCTACGGAACATCGGTGTGAAGATGACTCACCGTCCACGTCGTCCCAGGCTTTATGGCCTGCTTCTTCTCCGGCGGTTTCCTCGATCGGTGATTCGTGGTGTGCTCCGACACCCAGCAGGGCCTCCACGAGGACAAAACAGCCGCCGACCCACCAGCTGTAGCACCCGTCCACGAGCTTATTTGTGCGGCCCTTAAAGCCACCGAGCTCGATCGGAAGGCCCTGCATCTGGGCACACCATCTGAGGAGCGCGCCGGTGTTAATGCGAGGGGCAGGCGGGAGCGAAATAGACGTGGGTGGGCTGGCCGGAGCGTGATAGAGATCGATAAATGATCGGAGGATGACCCATGACGCCGTCGCACAGAACGTATATCCGCCGTGGGCCTCACCGAGCGGCGGCCGCGGCGCAGAGGGGTCGTACGTGTTGGAAGGGCCTGTATGAGATTCTGGGTCGTCTGAGGAAAAATAGATGGTGAGATCAGACCGCATAGCAGGTCGCACGAGCGTACGTACCGGTCTCAAAAGCCCATCCGGGGAAGGATGCGTTCCCGAATCCCCCCTCATAGGTCTGACAGCTGGCAAGGAACCCGGGCACACCGGAGAGAAGCTCGGGTGTAAGTATGTTGAGGAGAGTAGCGACCGCGAGTAGGCAATACACGCCTCTGTGTGTACGTCAGCCAGCCACTCACGCTTCAAAGGTCTATCAACGAAATAGACGGTTTGAATGGACGCCAGATACGTCCACCCGGTCCTTCTGTAATCATGATGAAGCCGCCACTGCTGCGCTTACCTGACATCTACCTCTCCGTGATGACTAACGAGGAAAGAGCCATCCGGTTGCTTCAGCGACATAAAGAACTCGTATAGCTTCTTCCTATTATTTGGAGAGCAGGTCCTGATTATCGCAAGTATCAAGGCGACAAACGTGAGCGTTACCTATTGATAGATTCCCAGCCGCCCCCCTCGCCGGGGCGGCCTACCACTGCAAACGCGCAGACGGCGGCGTACGTTGGTAGCAGGTGCGCGGCTTGGCCTGGGCCCCCGGAGAAACCGCCCTCGGGGTGCTGGAGGGCAAGCAGCGTTTCTATTGATCTAATATCAGAACAAGTTTAGCACGCGTGTGCACGGCATTCAGAAACGTTCAGGGCCGGTACCTACCGCTTCTTTGTCAGATCGTCCAAGCCTGCGCCGAAAATACTAAAGCCGTGCAGGGTCCAGTAGATCAGCCATGGCTGGCTCGCGTCCTGCGAGACGTAGCGTTCTGGGAACCCCTGACGCAGATTTCGCAGAAGAAACTCGAAGTGAAATCTCTTCTGCAGCTCGGGCTGCAAGCCGGTGCCTGCTGGCAGGATATGGGAGGCGATCAAATTCTCTGTCGCGGTCTGTAGGGCAGATGTCGGGGTGCCGTATCCATCTGTCGGAGTGGGTGAGTAGAGATCTACCATGTTCCTGTTGAGCTGGCGGTGCAGAGGAGAAAGGCGTAAGTGGCAACATATCCAAGTACACAACTTATTGTCTTCGAGCTCGAGCGATCTCCGATTCAGCCGTGCAGCACAGCAGTTAGGTACATAGCTAAATACAACTCCTGGCTTTGCAATCCCGTTTAGCTCAGCTGGTAGAGCGCGTCACTAGTACGGGCGCCTAGCGCATCGTGTAATGACGAGGTCAGTCGTTCAAGTCGGCTAATGGGAATCATCGTGCTTTGTCTCATAAGTTTTTTGTGCACCGTCGCTAGGGAATTCATGCATACATGATTACTGTCACATCTGTACATACTCCACGTACCCAATCCATGATATGGCATCAATATGTCATTCATTAAATTTGTTACTCTCTTTGATACCGTTGTCACGTCTACCATCCTAAGTTGTTGACCAGGACCACATCGCACTGGCAAGCCTCGGATAGCCATTGCCTACGCATGGGGATATGGAAAATATTCATGTGCTTTTTCCACATCAGATACGCTGATCTTGCACGTACATCCCCGAGTTTATGACAGCGTTCCTTACATAAACATATCTCCAGTGCTGGTAGTGCCGGCAAGAAGTAAGAAACGTCTGTGGACACTACTACGTAGTACTTACTAGGGCCGTTTACTAACTTGCCGCACGTGAACGCCTGAAAACCGCGAAACACAGACAGACCAAGACCTGTCCGTGTTCCTTGGTATATGCGTCAGTGACACCAAGACAAACAGAGTACATAACGGAAACCGCCAAAACGATTCCCATTAGCCGACTTGAACGACTGACCTCGTCATTACACGATATGCTCGTACTAGTGACGCGCTCTACCAGCTGAGCTAAACGGGATGCAGCATGTCGTCTCTTTGTTGTTCTCCTGTACAGCCGCAAGAGCATTTACACGAGAATCTGATTCTTCATTGAAGTCCACGCAATATTCTCTTTGTTTTACATACATGCATGTACATGAGATACTGGATTGTTTGCATTGGGTGCCATAGCTGACGTAGATCCCCTTCTCACTTTCGCGAGACAGTAGCAGAGATCAGTCCGCTGTAAGCCGAGCAGCCACATCAGTCTTCCGCAGACGAAATAGATCTACATGAGGGAGACATACCTCGGTGCGGGCAGAGGAATGAACACCTCGGCCTTGGGACTACGACAGATTGAACGGTCAACGTAGGATACACGAGGGTACGCCGGAAATACGCACGGAGACATGTTGTCGATCTCGATGTACTTCATGTCGACGGGCACGTAGTGCTTGTTCGGGAGTTTGTACGTCACGCTCTGGACGTGCGGGTGCTCCGCGACTATCCGCTGAGCCATCTTGTAGAGCGTCGCCTGAGCCCGCATAGTGTCAACAGTGGAGCGCAACGGAATACCGACCTACGTACCTGCACACTTGCGCTCTCATCGACGGCGAAGACCTCAAGCGTGATCCCACGCGCAGCCGCAGCCACGCTATCGCCGTCCCACGCAGTGCCCTTCGCCTGCTCCGGCGCGAGCGCAACGTCGAACACCTTGCCCTCACCGTCCGCCGGCTTCGGGATCGCGAGGGGCGCGAAGCGGTACGCGAGGTCGATCGAGGTCGAGAAGATGCGGTCGTCGACCTCGACGAGCGTCGTGTACTCGTCGCGCACGAACGACTCGAACGCGCTCCCGGTCGTCTTGAGCACGAGCAGGCCCTGCAGCCCGGACGTCACGCGTGCGACGATCTTGTCCAAACCCGCTGACGCGTCGATCTCGGCCTCGACGATGCGCTTGTCGTCGCCGTCGCGGTAGAACGCGTGCGGGTGCGGCTGCGCGGCTTCGCCCGCGCTGGGCGCGACGGGGATGCGCTGCCACCGGAGCTGCTCGATCGTGATGAACGCTTTCTTGAGGTGCGCGTATTTCGTGACGAGGTGCGTGCCGAGGTGGAGCGCGAAGCGTTCGGGGTGGAGGACGTGAGGGGAGGTCTTGGCGAGGACTTCTGCGAGTGAGCGCGGGTCGCAGCCAGGGGTGTGAATGACATACAGTATGTGATGTTCTTGACTACGATGGGGTATATATCATGAGCTCGTACAGTGGAAGAAATGAGCGAGGGGGTACTTACTCGAGTCTGTGGCAACTACCACCGAGTTGTCCGCCTTGGTGTAGCTGTGATCCCAATTCAGTTGGGCGCCGCGTGCTCAATCGTTCTGTGAATGGAGACTAACCTGACTTCGATGTCGCCCTCCACTAGTGCGGTGACATTGTACTCGACGATATTGTGCCATGCACCATCGCGCACGACGCGGAAGACGCGGACCTTGTCCTTGCCGTAGCGGGCGTGCGAGAGATAGGAGAGACCTTCGCCTTCAGACATCGTGATCAAGAGGTAGTTTGGTGTAGTCGGTCAGTGAACGGGTGCTTCAAAGTAGTATGTGGCTCTGCTGAAGAGACGTGGATTTAAGAAAGCAGCAGAGGAGAGGACATCGCGATGGGTGTTTAGCCGCGATAACGCAGTCGACTCGAGAATTGGCCTCGATCGCCCGAGGGCGGTCTTATCTTATCAGTGTTCTCTATAACAGCGTGGAGGACTGCACGTGTATGTCTTCATTATGGCCGGGCTCATTGCGGAGGGAAGAGGAGGTGTGTAGGCGATGACTGTTCGAAGCTTGCGATGTGGTCCTGGTCAACGAGGAACGATCCAATACGTACTCACTCGGAGAGAGAACGTTAATGTAGGCGCTCATAACCATATACCGTGGATTGTAGCGTACACTCGACTCATGCACTAACCAACATGTTCGAAAAACTTGAAAGTCCCACTGTCCAACGTTCAACGCTTTGCAGCCAACAAAATCGTAAGAATAGTACATAGGCGTCGGCGTAGGCCTCCTATGTATCCGGAGCCACACGGTCGGACGCGCGCCTTGCAGGCTAGAGTCGAACAGATATCCATTTGGATTGCCCACTCTAGATCTATCCTTAGTAACCTGGCAGCTGGTCCGATGAAATTTCGAGACGGGCTTCGGCGTGCAGGAAAAGCTGCTTCAATGTTGGGATCCGGGCGACCTTGTACGCAGGGTAATACATGCATAACATACAACAGGAACTTCTCAACAATGACCGAAACCTCCGCACATTGAACTGGGGTGCATTCCTATCCCCCAACTCACCAATAGAACATACATGGATTTACTTATCTTTGGTGAACACAGACTTCGGCAACATCATCCCGATCTGTGGAGGCACAGTCAGTGTCTAAACGCAGTGCTCTTCAAATGTCCTCGAGCAAGTGACAAACATACCACGTAATTCGGCATGTCCACCTGTACGGAAGGCTTCGTTAGAATACACATTCTTCAAGTTCAAGTGCAAGACGCTCACCACTTCGTGCATCCTCAGATCCCCCGCGACGCTGCAGAGCATATACGCCTCCTCGCTCGTAAGGCCGCGTTCAGCGACCAGGAACGCTATCATGTGGCGAACCGCAGCACGAGTGGCTTCGCGTATGTCTGCGTACAAATCGATGGTGAGCAGAACGCTGCCTCGAATGGAGAAAGACTTACCAGGTTCAACCCCCGTTGTACAATAAAACTCATCCTCCCGACTATACGGAGAGCGCGTCACGAAGTGTGGAGTCTTCACGTATGACTTGTCCTTGATCACCGTCAGCCGCACCGTTACGTTCATTGGGGTTTCAATGGCCGTTCCTACGAAGAATTCATCAGCTCAGGACCCTTGGGGACTCCAAATGCACCGGCATACCGCAGACCTCTCCAAAAAGTCAGATCACAGTCAGCAAAGACTTTGTTTAAGTTATCACAGGCTACACGTACCGCCATCCCCCTGTGCAGCGTGCCCATCCCCAATAGAGAACAGCGCGCCCTCCGCCTCGATAGGGAGATAAAGCGTCGACCCCTTTGTCAAGTGCCGCGTATCCACGTTCCCCCCAGTCGCATACGGCGGGATAGTCGAGTGCGCGCCCGGCTTCCCCGGCGCGACGCCCATCTCGCCCGCGAACGGCCGCAGCGGGATCCTGATCCCGCGCTCCTCGTCGAACCACGCATATCCGTACTCCCCTTCCGCCGCCGCCGCCGACTCGGCGTGGGCGTGCAGCGTCCAGAGCTTCAGCGCGGGTGCGGGGAACTCGTCCGCGAGGAGGCCGAACCCGGGGATGAGCCCCGTCCAGCCCCAGTCCGCGGTGCGCACGTCGAGCACGTCGACGCGGAGCGTGTCGCCCGGGACGGCGCCGTCGACGAAGATCGGGCCGTTCACCTGGTCGAGCTGCGCGAAGACGAGCGACGCGATCGACGCGGTGGTCGAGGCGGGCGTGAGTTGGCCGTTGGACGCGTCGAGGCAGTCGAAGGTCACGGTCTCGCCGGACTGCACGCGCAGGACTGGGGGTATGCTGTTCGTGGCCGTGGTGAACGATGTGAGCGATCGGCTGGTACTGGACATCATGCAGCGGAGCTCGTACCTGTGATCCCATGCGAGATGGCACTGAGCGCGTTTGATAGAGTGTATGGTGGACATGATCCTGACGTGTTCTAAACCTTCGTTTGCAACTCAGGGTTCTGTATAAGAGCAACAAAGCACTCACTTCAAGTCCCTGGACTTATAACCACGGCGCTGGGACGGCGGCGCTGACTGTAAGGACGCAAGATGATAAGGCCGATAGCCTCATGGCCGCGCTCTCAGGCCAGATACCCACGAACTGCGCGTGATTTATCACCGAGCCGTGTGGTCAGAGCACTGCATAGGATGCCTGATGACAGTGAAAGTGAGACGGAGCCATACAAGGTGGTGCATCGTGAGCGAGAATTGGCTACACTTCGCATAACGAAGAGTTCGATATAGAGGAAAAGTCTCTGGATATGTTCACGTAGATGATAAAGCGTAGATGAGGGCGAGGATAGCACTGGGTAACCTAAATAACAATAAGTCGTCGGCATAGAATGTGTGCCAACATGATGACTGAAGGGAGGAAACGTGCATAATGGTAAGTCGAAAGCTGAGCAGAACAACGAAGCGAACAGACAAGGAAACGACAGCGACAGAAGTGACTCACGAAGTCTACAGCAGGATACACCCGCCGTCCTGGGGGACTCCGACACGCGCCCTGTCCTCCATCAGGCGACACCGCACTCTCAAGTCTTCCACCTCGCGCTCGAGCTCATCCCGCCGTGCCCTCTCCTGCATCCGCACAGGTATAAGCAGGGACATCAGGTTATCCACCGCCGTCCACCTCTTATACCA